GGTGTCTTCTTCAGAGTTCTTTGTGTCGCTTCCCTCAGTGGTTCAAGGTGCAGCGCCTCCACAGGCGAGTAGTTGAACAGGTTTTTCAAAAAGCTTGGTTTGTTTGACTCAGTGCAGTGTGAAAGCTAACTACACCAGCTGAAAATGTAACAAATGTTGCAATTTTGGTGCCCAGTTGAATCGAGTCTACCAAACTGTCAGGCCTGAAATCATCCTTAGTGCATATCGGGGGAGGAAGTAAGAGTAAAGAAACATTTTGCACATTTTTCATCAGGATATGAGAAAAGTGGCAATAGAATAACGGTAAAGAGGAGTTTATAGCGCAGAATATTTCTGTTAGAAGTTGTGTTCATCTGGGTCAAATTGAGGAAAACATGCTCAAGGTTCTACTTTTCTAGAAAACATGAAAGTATTTCAGGTTGTTGAGCTGACTGACTTTTCATCTCTACAGATTTCAGTGACCTGATGGATTCAGACAAAGAAGACGGCGCAATTTAAACCAAATGAGATGTGAGCCGAACTACACCCACTGACAACTCTGTGTCTGTGATGAATAATAGTCGCAGAGTTATTGATTCTTTGCGTGTCATTATGTTTTTTGTGCCAAACACACGGATGGGGCCCAGAAAGCACACAGTCTTTCATTCACCCAACATTTCATCTATCCCATTGCTGCATCTCTTCTGAAGCTCTTTTATCTTCTACATCTGACACTGTCCTGTCGTCCTCAAAGTGAGGTGAAACATCAGTAAGAGTAAAGCGTTGCAGCCTTGGCATCCAGGTCAATTTATTTTTGCAAAATAAAATTCACCTTTTTTCCTCTTTCATTTTTAGCATGCTCTTAATCCATGTTACTTTCTAGCATGCAGCTCCGAATATTTACTTAATGTTAGAAAACGAAATGTCTTGTTCCTGCCCACATCAAAAACTGAAATTTATCCTTATTGTAAAGCAATGCAGTTTTGACTCAAAGTGATACTGATTCTTAGAAGAATTTTGAATTTTATGAGATACAACAACATTTAATTTCCTTTTGGGATCAAAAAAGTATTTATCAATTGAACTGAATTTGAATTAAAGGGTGGGTTTTATGTTTACATAGTCTCACCCTGTTATTTCCACCTCTGAAAGCTATTTTTTGTGCATTTTGAGCTTTCTCCACAGCACACCAACAGATCCTTTTATCTGATTTTGTTCCATTAAAGGCAGTAAAGAAAATGCCAAAATAGGTTTATCTGCGGCATCTCTTGGATTATGGAGCGTATAAAGTGATTCCTTCCTAAGAGCAAGCCATGATTCTAAGTTAGCTGTCTGCCAGGTCTTCCCCTGCACTCCTGACCGCTAAAACGAGAGCGAGTAGATTGAATTATCCAAGCAATTCATCTGCAGAGCGGAGGAAGAGGTTAGCACTAATTTAGCAGAGTGTGCAGGCCATACAGTGAAAAATAGGACTAAAGTAATGGTTCAATTTGTACTGTGTCAACTAACTGTATAAGAGAGGTAGCCGAAGGGGCTAAAGTGGAGGGGAAGCATCCCGAAAATGAAAAGGAGAGACTGAGTGAGAGGAAGACAGGAAGGGTCATCAGCTCTCTGGAGACAGGGAAGACTCACAGATGTGCTTTGTATCAATAATGGAACAAGAAATGGGAGGAAGACGGAGACAGGAAGACATCAGCAGAGAAAAAGATTGAGAGAAATCACAACAGGCGGATGAAAAAGGGAGACAGTGATGGAGGAGCTGGTTAATAGACAAAATGTCAGCAAATCGTTGCTGCTGTCTTTCTTTTCTGGCTCCTGCGCATTATTGGCTGGTGCAAAAATATCAATACATTGTAACAGAGGCAGCACAAATAGAGCCCAGTGTTTGGTATAAAAACACCAATAAGTAAGATGGGCCTAAAGATATTTCCAGCACTATACTTAGTAACTGTTCATGGGAATCTGTTTTCATTTCATAAAAAAAAAATACATACTGCAGTTAAATATTTTTAAACAACACCCTAAAAAACAAAATGCTGCTGGATGTTGTTCAATTTCCATTGATATTAAATTTACCCCTAATACTAATATTTGTTGAAATGCTTATGTTTTAGTTTAGAGACAAGAAAAATCAAGTAAATCTAATGAAACAAAGTACAAATATTCAGTTTTTTTCCCAGTGTTTTTAATTCATTTTTGTTCTTCAGAGTGATTTACGTGTAGAAAATTTCCATGCACCTGAGAGTCTGGCAGAAATGTCCAATATTTGTTGTTTCATTTTCAGGTGCGGTTCGGTTTCATCCTGCACTTTGTCAAATAAACATTTTAAGTCTTTGAAATACATGTTCACCACCTCACCTGTGGGGGCGCTGCAGCGAGAACCACTGAGGAAACAACACGAAAACCTCTGAAGAAGACGTGAGCACAACTTCCTTCTTCACAAAACGTAAACAAATGAAGTGGCGTCAAATTTTAGCGGTTGTAGGATTTCTTTTTTGCCTTTGGCAAAAAAATAGCGAAACTTTTGGTTGTATTTACCCAGTATGCCCTGCGCTGTAGTCCACTTCCTGTTTTTGGAGCGGTCTCCAGTCCGGAACCAGATTTCACTTTTCACTTTTTCAGTCCAGATCAGTGTTTGATTTCACATTCACACTTCCCCAAACGAACCCGACTTCCTATGGGAACAAACTGAAGTTTGATTAAATTGGACGAAACAGAGTTGGCGTGAATGCACGTTAAAACTGGTTAATTTCATAGCGGCTCGGTAATTTAACACCATTGCTGCAAATTTACCGGAGCTAGCCAAAACGCTCTTTTTCATCTTCTGTTCCTGGGCGCTTTCTGGACAGAAAGGTATACAGAGAACTCTACAATTTGACAAAAAAAAAAAAAAAGACACAGAAAAGGCTGTTCATGAAGAGGACCTGAGAGATATTTCCTGTCTGGGTTTCTCCTTCGATTCTGAGAGAATCACTGTGGAGTGGGTCTGGTAATGTTTCAGAACCGAGCAAATAAGAATTTGTAGCAGGTCCGTTCTCTGGAACATCTTCACAGTTTCTTCAGGGAATTCATTATCGCTCCATTTAATTTTAAAAATGAGAACTTTGTTTGGCAAACTGAGATGTGATGTAACTCCCCGTGGGGAAAATGATTTGACTTTCTAAAACAGTCTGCCTGGAAATATTTTTTTCGCTTTAATGTCTAACTCCTTTTCCTGCGTACAAAGCAAGATTCAAATATCCAGATCCTTAAGGGGTTGGTGAATGTCTATTTATTTCCTAACAAATGTGCATAAAACCTATACTTGCCTGAATAAATGTTTTACAGTGTAGATGACATGGTTGTGGTGAAGCAGAGCTGATGACAATCAGATTTATTCAGATTTTAGAGACCAACATGAACATTTTATTTTTAGCTGCTTTTGCAGATAACAAAAAAAAAAGAGTCAGTTAATGATCCAACGCAATACTCCTAAAATTTAACTTTTCTTCAGGAATAACAGAAAAACTCTGTATGCGTCACCGTTTGTTGTGAACAGATGTGTTAAAGTGCTTCATATTTTCCACTCATTCGTACACAGTCACTACACGACCCAGAATGTGGAGCTAACACTCTGAAATTGATGGTAATTTGCGACACCAGGTGCTGAATGGAGAGTGACGTACGTACAGCCAATCAGTGCGTCATGTACATCTCGTTACTGACTGCGCGCGCGTATGTGTGTGCGTTTCCCATATCGACAGTAATAAGTTGACGCACGTGCGTTTACGAATTCTTTGCTCCAGTGGTTCTCGTATCCTTTAATTATTTTGTTCCCCTTATTTGCTGCTGTAACACTTCACTGCTCTCGTTCTGTGGCAATCTTTTATGCGACGTGACACCTCTAAAATAATCTCTGATGGAAAACAAAAATGTGAAAAAACAGATTTTATTTGTAAGCCCAATTTCTTTAGTGCAAACTGAAAACATGCAGGTCAAACAACCAAATTAGGGCAATGTAAAGGGACCAAATAACCTCCAGTAAGTCATATGGTGATGCTATCTTGTGTCAAGAAAGAACCATCCTAAAACATTCTGTATATTTGCAAATACTGAAAGAATTCCGATTTTTTTTGTGAGTATCCTGCCTATCAAGATTAGTGGAGTTCCAGTTGAAAACTCCCACAACTCAATGCAAAACTATATTTTTCTTATTCATGTTGTTTAGAAATATATTGTGCAGCTCTAATAAATACTTGCCAGACATTTATGTTAAGAGCAATTAATTGGTTTTTAACAATAAACAACTTGGGCAATCAAACAGCAGTAAGTTGGTGAATTTAAGTATCTAGACACAATGAAGATTTTGCAAAGTTACATTTCATCCACCAGAATGATGAAAAAAGTGGATTTAAATGGTCAGTTATCTTAAACTGCTGAACTACTGGGGGTTTCAAACATCTGAGATTCATCGGGACTGGTCTGTTTTTGTGAACAGACAAAATTAGATGGAAGTTTTCATGTTTATAATGTGTGAAACCACTTCAAAAGACAAAAACAAACAAAAAATAAGATTTTCTTGCTTTCTGTCAAAAAGCGAGAAAAAACAGTTTCATTTACGGAGCTGAATGTGTTGTTTCTCTGCAACTTCAACTCAAATCAGTCCTGAAAGTTTTAGAGGGAAAATCTTGGCTGAACTTAGCAAATATTATGTGCCTCTAACTTTTCTTAAATTTTTCACATATATTTCAATAAATTCCTCTTTCTGTAAACAATACGATCACTTCGTTCACGTTTCCATCGATGCAAAGTAATGTTTTCTCTCGGTCTTATCCACTGCTGCCATGCGCCTTCTTCTTAGTAGGCGTGATCATCGCTATGGTTACCCAGCTAACCAGGTCAGCGCTACAGAAGTGAGATGTATGTGAATACACAACAAATGACAGTAGATCTGTTTGAGCACCTGTGTTTTTCCCTCATTTCCTGGCCGCCTGCTGCCTTTGGGCTGATTGCTGTGCGTTTCTTGTCTGTGTGCGTAACAGGAGGGAGACTCTCTCGGGGCGATGGAGAAGGTTTGTCGTCAGCTGACGTACCATCTCAGCCCCCACTCCCAGTGGAGGAGACAGGGACTGCTCAAGAGGAAACCTCAGGCCTGGTGAGTTGGTGTGTGTGTGTGTGTGTTGAGGGATACGGGGTGTACTCACGGAGTGCCATGTGTCTCTGTTTTGGCTAGCATCTCAGTATGTCAGCAGTGTGTCATCATCTACTGCCCCTTTGGATGCCATGGAAAAATCTGCTCACGTCTCTTTGTTTCCTCTCGGTCATACACTCAGTTGGAGTTTAAATCAGTCCTCCTTTCTGAGTCTTGTTCTTTTTTAAAATTATGCAACTTCCTTCTCTCAGGGTGCTACACTGACAGGGGTTTAATTTTTGTTTTTTTTTTTTTTTTTTTTTTTTTTTTGTCTAGATTTGCCATAAAGTTTTAGCTGTGAGGCACAGCTGTGATTTCTGTTCATTTGCATTTCGGCAGCCAGCTCCTTCTCCTCACACCTGCACTATGCAGAGAACACTCGTTTTCAAAGGCTGCGGCTGAAGGAGGGCAGCTATCCTGACTGAATTTTAATTTATACACAGCTGGGATGCACAACATGCAAATAAGGTATCAAGAGCAACAAACTAATCCACCTGCTTCTCCAGCTCAGCTCTGCACGAGGTGGAGGTTTATTTAAAGGCTCGGAGCTGTGCTCAACATTAAATATTATTCAGTGCTGAGCAAACACTCTCACGCTCAGAACAATATTTCTTCTCAGTCTTGGGTCTGATGCCGTATTTCCCCAAATCCAATAGGTACTTAGTAACAGGTTTCAGATTGAAAACAATCTTCTTGAGCCTGTTTCATAAAATCCTCTCAGGTGTGCTCTGAGTGCCCATCTGAAGAGCAGCTCAGACTTGACATTGTATAACTGCTTGTGTTGTTCAATTTTTCGTATTATACAAATTTTATTGGGCAGACACAACGCGAGACCACTGGAGCAAAACACAGTCGACCCCAGGTGGATCTGAATATCTGAAATCAGTGAATACCTGAAACACTCGCTAAGAATAATTAGAACTACCTCCACAAAATGTTCCTTAAAGAGTATCTAATTTGCAAATTAACTTTTATTTTTGCTGATAAGCTGTCTGAAGAGGTGATTTGGGGTTCTTACCTTAAAACACCTCAGTGCTGGCCTCCTTAGGTCCAACGGTCCTGCTGCAAAGTTGCAGGTGACCAACATAGCTAATAGGCATCTACATAAAATATTTCTGAACAAAATTTGATATAAAAAAAAAAAAAACCTGAGCTAACCGTTCTTCCATCAATGTTTTTTGATGGAAATTGTAAAAATTTGAAAAACGTTCTCAATTTTGCAAAAACGTTTTTAGGCCTGCCAGAGGAGATTTTTGACTTTCGTGTTAAAGAGTTAATGCAACCACGTTTTGTTTTCTTTACAATATTTTAAAAGTTCGCTCAAAATTCCCATAACAATTGGATGGAAACATGGCTGTTAACTCCAGCGAGTTCAGCCTTTAAGCCTGAAACGGGCCCATGCATTGTGCAGAGTGATTTCATACTCGGTATCAAATTGTCCCTGTGTGCTGCAGCATGGTCTAAATCCAACTCCGAAACACAGAGGCTGGCCATGAAATATGTCCTGCTGGGAGCAGACGGCAGAGAAGAAAAACTTTGTAGCGGGACGCTTGGAGAGCGAATTTCCACCGCAGCGAGAAAGCAGGATCAATCGGAAATAAAAATGTCTCCTCCTCCTGCTTTGAACATAAACAACAGGTGTCACCTCCCCTCTAAAGGCGTTTGCACCCCGATGCTGGAGTGTCGAAGCAGAGAAATAACAATTCAGCGCCGGCCGTAAGACTGGACCCCTGCTGTGTGTGTTTTAGAGTGTGTGTCAGTGCCTTCACAGTCGACACAAGTGGGCTCCTGGCGATGCCGTTAAAGCAGTGACTCACAGTTTGCTGGAATAAAAATGAGACCAAAAGATGAAACTTAAAATGAGTGAAGTGGTTCCGCTCCGGTGGAAGGGATTTAATCAATGCAGCGTTGCCGTCGTCACTTGAGGCTGTCAGGAAGTCCAGCCAGACTGATTAACCGGAGGAAAGACGAACCCCATTTACTCTGAGACTCGCAGGGAGATATTAGATTGGCTCATCTGTTGGAACGGAGCACACGCACCGTTAACACCTTCCTCTCCTGCAAAACAAACATTTCCTGACTAATTACATCCCAGAGTCACTTAAAGTGATGAGAAATGCTTCCATCCACTTTGGGTTCAGGGCTCCAATTTGCTTGGTTTAGTCATGCATTTTAAAGTCCATATGAATCTCGTTTCTCACCCAGTTATCAGTCCGGCAGCAGCTTGCCTGCATATCTGTTGATCATCAGTGTTTCCTGTGTGAATCACATGTCTGGTTTTTACTGGGATGTATCCGAAACTTCAAGCATAAGTCAAGCATAAGAACCCTGCTCTTAAAAAGGCGGAAGACAGCAGAAGGTTCACATCAAGATAAATGAGAACAGATTATTCTATCAGGATAAAGATTCAAAGCAAAGACTGAGATAAACTAACAAAAATAAGTATGTTTTTTTTAAATGTTTTTTACCTTGTATGATGGTTTAAACAAAGTAAAATGTACAGAAAAAGACATGTCTTCTGCAGGCTTTCTGAAGCAACTTTGTAATCTCTTGCGAACTTGTGGTAATCTCTTCTGAATATGAAATCTACTGGGCCTCAGCCTGTCAAAATCAGACGCCACAAGTCAGCTTGTGTGAGAGCATAGATAAAAAAAAAAA